TTAGTTCCTCTACATATTGTTATCAACACCTAGTTTCTTTAAAATAAGACCGCAATAAAGAGTTCTAAAATATTCGGAAGAATAACTCCCTTTTAATCGCTCGCTGAAACAGTTATATATCTACATATCTATTTTGTCTCATAACCAATATACGTACAATGTACATACATACATACATCTGCTTTTGCTTAAGGTTATATATTTTTTCTTCTTTCTATCTAGATCCCTACTTTTACCCCTGTTCGTTCTAATTACATTTATGTTATTCTGTATTCCTTTATCTTCATTTTTATCTTTTTACTCTGTCGATAGCAACATCGATAGTAACATCCAACAAAATATCGATTACAAAACCGATAAAAATGTCGATAACAAAATCGACGAAAATTTCGATAAAAATTTCGACAGCAAAATCGATAATAATATTGGTAGCAAAATCTATTAGAAACCCGATAAAAATATCGATAAAATTATCCATAACAAAATCGATAAAAATATCCATAACAAAATCGATAAATATCGATAACAAAATCGATAAATATCGATAACAAAATCTATAACAAAATCGATAACGAAATCGATAAATATCGATAACAAAACCGATAGATATCGATAACAAAATGGATAAATATCGATAACAAAAATGATAAATATCGATAACAAAATCGATAAATATCGATAACGAATTCGATAAAAATATCGATATCAAAATCGATAAAAAAATAGATAAAAATATCCACAACAAAATCGATTAAAAATCGCTAAAAATATCCATAACAAAATCGATAAATGTCGATAATAAAATCGATAATTATCGATAATAAAATCGATAAATTTCGATAACGAAATCGATAAATATCGATAACAAAATCGATAAAAATATAGATAACAAAACCGATAAATACCAATAACAAAATCGATAAAAATATCGATAAATATCGATAACAAAATCGATAAAAATATCGATAACAAAATTGTTAAAAGTATCGCTAACAAAATAGTTAAAAATATCAATTACAAAATCGATAACAAATCGATAAAAATATGGATTACAAAACCGATAAAAAATATCGATTATTTTATCGATAAGTCCCGAGAATCCCGAAATTCTCTAAAATCTCAAAATAGTTCCCAGATTAAGTCTCTGTGTCTCTCTCTATATCCTTTCCTCTTTAATTACCTTTATTTTAATCTTTCTTCCCCTATCTTCATCTTTACTTTTATCGGTATCCTCATCCTCCTCCTTTGTCTTTACTTTTATGTTTATAATTTTCTTCATCTACATATTCCCCTTCACCTTTGCCCTAATATATATAAGTGTTTAAATTAACCCTGGTCTTCATTTTTGCCTATATCTTTACGCGCCTTTGTTTTTGTTTTTATTTTTACCTTTGCCTTTATCCTTTTCTTTATCTATGTACGTACTCACCTTTACTTTCATTCTTGTATTGGTATTTTTCTAAGTGTTATTCTTTAACCTTTTATTAGCAAATTCTTGTTAAATTAATACCACTTGTTTCAGCCCCAACCATTTTCCGTTGCACCATTTCCGTTGCATCATTTCCGTTGCACCATTTCCGAGTGCAATTTCCTTTGAATTTGCCAATTTACTCCCAACCAACCAACCGCCGCTAAAGAAGTTTCACTTCAATCAATGGTAAGTCCTAGCTACCTCAAACTTGCACTTTATTATACTAAAATTAAATGGGCTAAAAAACTGAATACTCAACTTTTTTCTAGAGAGCGTAAATAAAAAGTGCAATATTTGAATGAATTTTTGCAGAATTTTCTTTCATTTTGCACAAGGTTTGGAACTCTGATTTTTGGGTTTTTTGTTGTAGAATTAACCATATTTTTATACAAAATTATCGAAAAATAAAATATTTAAAAAATAGTTACCTGTATTGTAAAAATTCGCTGTTCCTAAACTCTATTGGCTGACTATATAACGTATAACGATTTAAAAAC